CTTAAAATTTCACTTAATTTGTTATTCCCTACCTTTTGAGTTTTGAGGTATCTTTACGTTTATTTACGCAGATTAGATTGGGGTTCAAAATATTTTTCTTTTAGTTAGTGGGTATTGAACTTATGACCTTACGAAGGTTTTGAGCCCACTTGACCACTAAATCATACTTTTCGGTTGTGTTAAGGAGGTTCAAAACTTAATATATAGAGGTAAAAAATATATTTTGACTTATATATACAGTGTAATTTTTCGGCGAAGAGGGTTCGGGTGAACCCCCTTCCGTTCCCCTAAATCCGCCCCTGTTGGAGGCCTAAAGACAAGCTGTAATAAGAGGCCTTAAACTTGATTATTCAGTTTAGATACTTTTTTTTTAAAGTTCATTCTTTTTACTTTTTGAGATGCAATTTAATCTTGACGAACGTAACCAACCCATTTAATCTTTGTTGAAACATTACTAACTTTTGATAAGATTTTATTAAGTTCAACTTTGATTTCTTTTTTACATAACCGTCATCATAACTCACTATATAGCATTGCCTCCCAAAGTAACAATCATGTGGAATTTGTATTTACAAAGATGATAAACAAATCAACTATAATTTTTTTACGATTTAATTAGCTTGAAGCGTACCTACAAAGACCTTGAAAGAAAATATCGTAAAAACTTATTGTTTTAAATAAAATTTGTTCAAGTTGTAATCAGAAGAACTAGAAAGTAAGTTCAAATTTAACTGCCTTCTATTTTCATTAAAATTTTCTCAACCAACTACAAAAGAAAAGACCACATAATAAATACAATAATATTTAAATTAGATATAAGAAGAGTAGCTTTTGGGGCCTCTAATTTTATGAGGCCTAAAGCAATCGCTTTAGTGGCCTAGGCAGGGGCGGATTTAGCGGGGCGCAAGGGGGTTCACCCGAACCCCCTTCGCCGAAAAATTACACTGTGTATATAAGGCAAAATCTGATTTTTATTTCTATATATTAAGTTTTGAACCCCCTTAATATAACCCAAAAGTGTAGTTTAGTGGTCAAGGGGCTTCAAAACCTCCATAAGGTCACAGGTTCAATTCCCACATCGGTAAAAAAAAAATTTTTTGAACCCCCTTCGCGGAGATCCTGCCTCCGCCATTGGACCTAGGGGTTAAGCAGACAAACTATGATACTGTTATAGGACTAAGTGACTAACACTTCAGATATATTTACTACTACAAAATCTCTATTGACACTATACAGGTACTAACTAGATGTTTACCTTCAAAATATTTCTTTGTTAATTACTTTTGTTTATGCTCTTCTTTTTCGATTCTTCACTACTAGAATTCCGAAAAAAAGCGACCAAATTTTAGCGACCAAAGTTGGTCTGTCAAGAAAAGCGACCAACGTTGGTCTCTAAATTGGAGAAAATAATAAAATAATTATTTTAAATACATTAGCGACCAAAGTTGCTCGCTATTTGGTTAATAATTTCGTCAAAATGTTGACCGGACTGGTCAGACTTGCTTGGTCAAAGAAATACTGGAATTAGCGACCAGCGTTGGTCGCTATAGTGGGACCCACTTTTTAAATTTTAATAATTAAATTATTATTTAAANT